CTTATTTCCTCTCTCTTTTGCTATGGGCATTTTTGATTCCTTCATTTTTTCCCTATTCACTTAAAGAGAACTATCTTAATAGGTCATTTGCAGGAAAAGAAGAATTGTTGATCCTTGTCACATCCTCTTTCTGTGGGTGCGAGGGTCCAACCACACATCCTGGAAGGTGTTAGTTGAAAGCTGAGACTTGGTTCTTCAAGCCCACTGCCTCAAACACCAGTTTTGCCAGGTTCCAGAGGGCAAGACTGAGCTAAGCCTGGCGCAGAGATAGTGACAGGACCATGTTGGTCTGGTGGTTTGGTTGTTGACCCCTTCTCCTGCCAGTTATGGAAGCCTAGCTGGGGGCTGGGAACAAGACCAAACTCTGTTGATCATGAGTAAAGCATAAACTGAAGCTGGTCAGGAGAAAGGAACAGTGCTCCCAAAGACAGCAATGTGGAAAGAGAGCAGAAACAGCCCTGTTCAATGCCCTTGAGCAATTTCCAGAGGGAGTAGTCTGATGTGACCAAAAGCTTCTAGAGCTGGAAAGAACACTAGAGGTCTGCTTGTGTTTCCACTGAGGGACAGGATGTGCTTCTGAAGCAAGCAGGGTAGCAGTCCACAACATCTAGCTGACGGCTCTCTCACTGTTGGCTTTTGGCATACCTTTGCTGCTTATTGCCCTCTGCTGTGGTTTAACCTCAGCCAAGCAGCTAAGCCTTGTGCAGCTGCACACGCACTCCCCACCCCTGGTGGGATGAGGGAGAGGAACAGAACAGAAGTGAGAAACCTCTTGAGCTGCGATAAAGACAATTTGATAAGTAGAGCAAAAGCTGTGTGTGCAAACAAAGCAAAACAACACATTCATTCACTGCTTCCCATCATCAGGCAGGTGTTCATCCAGGCGCCATCACACATAATGATTACTTAGGAAGATAAACAGCATAACTACCAACATCCCTCTTCCTTCTTCCCCCAGCTTTATATGCTGAGCATGACCTCATATGTTACGGAATATGCCTGTGGTCAGTTGGGGTCAGCTGTCCCAGCTGTGTCCCCTCCCAGTTTCTTGTGTATCCTCAGCCCACTCACTGGCGGGACAGTGTGAGAAACAGAAGAGGCTTCAGCACTGTGTAAGCAGTAACTAAAACAACCCTGTGTTGTCAACTCTGTTTTCATCTCAAGTACAAAACATACACAAAAAATTAACTCTATTGCAGCGAAAACCACCACACCCACCTGATGACAGGATAAAGTACAATATAGAGACAGACTGGTTCAGAAACTTGAACCAATTTGCTAGGATATACTGTCAGCCAGGTTGACATGAAAAAGTGCAGTTGCATGGATGTGCTACTGATGTCTTTATCCTTTCAGGAACAAACTGGCTTGGCCAAGTGGTGAGGGAGTTGGAATCAACAGATGCCAAATATACAGAAGAAGAAATGAAAGAAAGAATAAATGCTGAGAAGAAGCTAGAGATATTTCCACGTCTGGAATTTGGAGATCCTGGGATATATGAGGTTGGCAGAGACTGAAATAATTGGTACTACTCTCACAGGTAGTAATAGGTGAAAATCAATAGCTAATCTCAGAGGTAATGGAGAGCCTAAGGCCTTAACAACAGCTATTGATGGCACACATAGCATGTGTTATCGCCCTCGGTGTCCCGACGTAAGGGCCTCAGAGCACAGACAGTGCGAGAAGCCACAGGGCCAGCCCTGGACCCAGTGGGTCTGATTAGTAAGACCTTTTTCCTGGGTGTCCTGTGCTCAGGCATGTCTCATGTGCAGTGGTGCCATGTGGCAGAAGTTGGCAGAAGCCTACACTACCGGTGCCTCCCTGTGGGTTTTCCACAGGAACCTTCTCTGATCTCAAGCTTTCTTATTACTCACAATTTCTGAAAAGACACATGTCACTGAATAAGCTACATCCGTCACATTACATTTCTTTCCACTTTCTTTAAAGAGGTTGAAGAAACTGCCTTCCCGGAGAATTATATTAACCCATCTGCCACCTCATCTCCTGCCCAAATCCATTTTCCAAAGCAAGGCTAAGGTGAGTCTTCTCTTTGTATCAAACTGCAAAAGGTTTTTCCACCCAGAATTAACTTTCCTCTGACTCTGTGAGTTGTGGTTTTGACATTTCCACCTGGACTGGTAAATACATGTGTACATTTCCAAGGCTGAAGAGGCAGAGTGCTGTGTGCTGAGGCTGTGTACAAACATCCTCTCCCAGCAGCAGCTCTGCTGACTCAACTGGCTACTATCAGTGGGTTTGTTGCTGAGTGTTACTGCCCCTTCATATCTCCTTCAGAAAGAGACTTACAGGCTTGTGTCACAAAACTGAACAAGGCAAGCAGTTATCCCATTTGCTTTAACTTGCCTCCCCAACACGAGTACCTGTGGAAAACCCACCACAGGCTACCTGGGGCTAAGATAGTCTTCAGTGGGAATTGTTTCCCTGACATGCGTGTGTATGCCCACAGTCTGCTTGTGACTCTTCTGTTCAGTAGCCCATGAGCTCATTTCTCTGGATTGGAACTACCTCAGAACTACGTCCCAAGGGCATCACTGAAAAGCTTCTTGTTTTCAGCTTCAAGCTCACGTTATCAGCAAGTGGCCTGCCAAAGTTCTGATTTCTTGCTCAAGAAAAGGAATTAGACCAGCATTGTATTGTCTGGTGGGTGTTAGTGAACAAGGAAGTTTACAGATGACACTAAGTTAGGCAAGAGTGTTGATCTGCTTGAGGGTAGGAAGGCTCTACAGACGGATCTGGACAGAATGGATCAATGGGCTGGGGGCAACTGTATAAGGTTCAACAAGGCCAAGTGTTGGATCCTGCACTTGGGTCACAACAATCCCATGCAACACTACAGGCTTCAGGAAGAGTGGCTGTAAAGCTGCCCAGTGGAAAAGGACCTGGGGGTGTTGGTCAACAGCTGAATATGAGCCAGCAGTGGCCAAGAAGGCCAATAGCATCCTGGCCTATATTAGAAATAGTGTGTCCAGCAGCAGGATTAGGGAGGTGATTATCCCCCCGGTACTGCTGAGATTGCACCTCGAATACTGTGTTCAGTTTTGGGCTACTCAGTACAAGAAGGATATTGAGGTGCTAGAGTGTGTCCAGAGAAGGGCAAAGAAGCTGGTGAGGGGTCTAGAGCACAAGTCTCATGAGGGGTGTCTCAGGGAACTGGGGCTTTTTAGCCTGGACAAAAGGAGCCTGAGGGGAGACCTTATTGCTATCTACAGCTACCGGAAAGGAGGCTGAAGTGACTTGGTGTTGTTCTGTTTTCCCAGGTTACAAGTGATAGGATGAGAGGGAATGGCCTCAAGTTGCACCAAGGGAGGTTTAGAATAGATATTAGGAAATATTTCTTCACCCAAAGTGTTATTGAGCATTGGAACAGGTTGCCCAGGGATGTGGTTATGTCCCCATCCCTGAAGGTATTTAAAAGGTGTGTAGATGGTACTTAAGGATGTGGTTTATTGGTGGACTTGGCAGTGCAAGGTTAATTGTTGGACTTAATGATCTTAAAGGTCTTTTCCAGTGATTCTATGATTCTATGTCATGTGTTGAGAAGACAGCATTTTTTCTCAGTTATCTAATAAGAACAAAATATGTGTTTTCTTCCTCTAGATCCTTGTGATAATTCGGAACCCAAAAGACACAGCTGTCTCCTATTACCATTTCTACAACAACATGCCACTGCTGGTGTCCTTCACCTCTTGGGATGAATACTTTGCAGCTTTCATGAGTGGGAAATGTACTTTGCCCTGCATCTTCTGGCATTCCTTCTTACATGAGCATACACAGGACCCTGTGCATGGGAGTCCTACTCCAACATACCTTACTGAGGCACTCTCAGGACTGTCAAATAGGCCCATGTTACGGCAGAAACAGGAAGTACTAGAAAATCAGTTTCTTTTGCCTGTAACTCAGAGAGATAAAGAGAGAGCTTTAACCTGACTTTTGAGTTTCCAAAATAGAGCTCGTGGTTTGGTGCTACCTAGTGGCCATAGCTGAGGAATCCTGCTCTGACCTCAGCCTAAAGAACAGGCACATTGAGCTGGTGACCCCTTCATGATCCGGGTGCCATCTCAGAGAGCTGTCTGGGATGACTCCTCTGAATTGATACAGGCCTGTTTTGGGAAATACTCTACACAGCTATGTGTTTTCTTTGTTGACAGTAACCTGGGGATCCTACATTGACCACTTAGTGGAATGGAACACTTACATTGACCATGAGAATATCATGATGATAAGCTACGAGGAACTCAAAGAGGTGTGGCATCTCACCCAGCTCTTCCTTGATGAGTGCACTGTGCACCTCTCCTGATATGTACAGATGTGGGGAAGAAGACGCTCTTGGGTCAAGCCTGTCTACCCCTTTAGAAGGGTGTGCCTTTCTGATCTGCTCTTTTATGTTTGGGGAAGACCCACAGGGGTGGGGTTAAGGGGGGGATAGCCTTGCCTATTCATGGAAGGAGTTATATTTGGCACAGGCAAGTTGGTTTTGGGAGAGGAAAAAAGGCCTTGCAGCTGAGGCCACCATGTGTAGGTTATTTCTCTTAGACCTCTTGGAATTCATTGGTGACACTGTGGGAGTCAGCCTCCTCTGCTGGGCTTCCCACCAAGTGCTGTCTCCATGCCACAGTCATGGTGTCAAGTCTTTTGGTTTAACTTCCGTGCTATGTTCCTTTTGCCAGGACCAGGTACTAGGAATGAAAAAAATTGCTGCCTTCTTTGGATTCTCCCTGTGTGAGGAAGATTTTTCCACAATTGCCAAGAAGACAAGTTTCCAAGCGATGAAAGAGAAATCCAAGGAAACCCATGGAAAGTTTGGGGACATCCTCTTCCGGAAGGGTAGGTCCCTGCAAATGGAGAATCTACCTTCTAGAGCAGAATTCCAGAAGGAGTTCTGAGTGGGCTTCCTCACATAGCCATGAACTCACTGAGTTGTGTAGGCAAGGGTGGATGAGTTCTCTCCTGGGGCATCCTGTACAAGAAGCTTCTGCTGTTGGCAGGATTTGGGGGCTGTTTGTGAGAAACATGCCAGAGTGCCAGGCTTAAGGTCCTCAGCCATTGCTTCCATGTTGCTCTGTTTCTCTGATGCAGCTTTAGTTAGTTAGACAAGTGAGGTGTGAAGGTGGGGGGCAGCACTGGTGTAGGTTTTGCCAACAATTATGCACCGAATCTGCTTGGGCTGAATGGTTGGTTACTCTTTGCTTCTGTTTGTGATGTGTCTGTTCTCTGCAGTGAGTTAATGAGGCTGATCCTGGATCATGGATCCAGGCTGCACATATCACATATTCTCCTCTGGGAGGAGGTGTGCTAATGGGACAAGAGTCTCTTGAATCACAAGGGAATGTGTTGCTTACTGCTCTGCTGGCCTCACAGGCATATTCTTGTTATGTACTCAGTGACAACTAAGGAATAATTTCTTCATGGTTCCACTTAATGGGTGTGTCAGTTGTAGATCCAGAGTTGGTCCCTCATAGACTTGGGGCCAGGGCCAGAGCTCTGACAGCCCAGCTGCTCCCCATGACATCAAGAGTTTTTGGTTTCTGAATGGGCATAGGTTTGCTTTAATTCCTTTCCTTCACCACTCCTTGGAGGAAGTAGGATTTAATCACCTTCCTCTCTACCACCTTCCTCACTACCCCAAATAAGTCTCCCCTTCAGAAGAAGACATTCACAAATGAGCTTTCCCATGTGACAAAAACAGGTTCTCCTCTCTTTTGTGTAAAAGATTTATGAAACCACTTTGGAAACCCCCTCTAGGGAGGGAAGACATGCAAGCAGCCCACCAGCAATGATTGCTGTGTCCTGGCTGCAGCCTTTGCTTCTTATCTTTGTTACCTTGCCTCTCCTAGGCAATCAGACCTCTCAGGGACACAAACCAGATCCTTCCCACCTCATGTGAGCAAAAATTGTCCCTATTGCTTCCTAGGTTTTATTCTCTCAGGAGCTACTGCCTTCAGTTCTTGGTTCTTCTTGTTGTACACAGGGGTTGTTGGGAACTGGAAAGATCTCTTCTCTAAAGCTCAGAATGAAGAAATGGACCAAAAATTTGAAGAATGCCTAGGAGGAACAAAACTGGCAGCAAAGATGAAATATGATGTCTACTGCAAGGCCTGAAAATAAACACATGAGCAGCATGACAGCAAGTCATGCTCCCATTATGATTCTCCAAAGGTAGACAGTTCTGTGTTTCTTTCCCATGAGAAAAGAGAAAAACTTCTCAGAGATCTACCTGGTGCCTCCAAGCATTCAGGTGGTAATTCTTCAAAGTGTGCTGTGCCCAGGGCATGTGCTGTGCTTGATGCAACTGTATAAATGTGTGCATACCTTGAGTGAATGCTTTGCATCCTTCCAGGAGGGAGATAGTGCACAGGCATCATAGCACCACCCTGATCATGTCCCTATGGCTGTTTCATGGTCTGAGATTGTGAATGAGGCTCCTGTGGTACTCAATGATGAGGCAGAGGGACCAACACAAGACCTCGTCTGGCACACAGTGGGCTTGGCATGGAGGCATGGTATGGGTCTGAACCCCCAAAGCTCTGTTTTATGTAGCGAGCATGATAGCCTGGGTTTAGATCCATCATACCTACCATGGTGTTGATATTTGTGAAGAGAGGTCAGAAAGACTTCTGACATTTTGGCAAACTCCTCACTTGGGTGGAGGGTGGGACTTCTCGAGCCCATACTGTCACAAACTCTTAAGTAATGAACAGTTATGTTCATGTTAATGAACATGACTTTTGAATAGAAGGATCAAGGGAATAAATCTCTTGATGACCCTATTGCTAAACTATTAAAGCTGCAATTTTTCCACAATAAATAGATTTGTGCTACATGGGTATGATTTCCACACCCTCCTTAGTGGTGCAGATGTCCTTGCTACATCTGTGTAGAACATTCTGCTCAACCTTTTGTCGCAACCACTGTTTTGGAAAAACAGAAAAGCTAAGGAAATGTTGACTCCTCCTGGAAAAGAGAGTTCACTTCCTTGAAAAAAGGATTAATTTGCCATATTGCCAGACAGATATATCTTTACTACTCTCACACTGAACTAAGGTTAAAAACTGAACAACAAACAAACAAAAATGTAATTAGCAAAACTGGGAAATTGTTAAAACCCTGACTGTCCTTGTCCTCCCAGCCTGCCAGCACCCCCAGCAATGTCGCCACAGGGTTGGTCTCCAGCTCCTCACAGCTTGTCGTGTCTGGCCATGGGCCCTGCCAAGCTGGATAGGCCCTGCCAAGCTGGATACATCCATGGGTCCACATCATGTCCTATCCTCAGCCCATCACAATCCCCAGTGATGTGTCCAGTTGCCCTGAACTGGGGCTGCTCTGGTGCCCACAGCTGCCTAATCCTCACTGGGGTGGTGGGACAGGTCCTGGCTGCTGGGCCCTGCCCCACGTCTCCCTGACAGGATTAATGAGGAGTTATGCATATTCAGGGCTGATGAGCCACTCACAGCCTACTTCTCAGTCAGATTTTCTAAACTTCTGTGCAAGACCTGCCCATGTGAAATTACTCTGCACAATGAGGTATGTTCGAACCTGATGATTTTGGGTTTGCAGGTTTTGATTCCCAGAAGAGCAGGACTTAATCTAACTCTGTGCTTACATGGATGAAAAGAGGCAAGACACAATGCCTCATCATTTTCTAATTAGCAACATTTTATCTATTCCTTAATACATAACCTTTACTATTTCCTATGTGATGATATCAAAAGCTATCTGGATAACAGAAAGCATGCATCTCAGTGTCTTCAGGGAGCTGAACAAGGGAACAAGCCTGACCAGAAATGGGAGTCACTGAAATATTCAAAAGGCCTTCACTAAGATTAAAAGTTGGCATCTCAAGATCTGTTGTGTTGTTTGTTTGTTTGTTTATTTGTTTCCAGCAAAGGCGTTTTGTAACGTAAGGGCTCTTAGAAGTGTGTGACTGCACATAACAAGCTATAATGCCCATGACAGGTTATCGAAGGCTTGACAACCTTGATGACTTAGTAACTTGACTACCTGCTGCAGTGGCAAAGGACCAGGGGTTGTTCCATGCAGGAGGGCTGAAGAACTGGCATTTCCATAGACTTTCTCCACTATGGGATGTAGGTCATTCCTGTGTGCTGGGTGGAGCTATAGGCACACCTGTCACCCAGACTCTTGGACATTTTTCCTCTCTCTTCTCATGTCTTTCAATACCAATATTTAGGATTGCTGGATACCTTCATGTTCTATCCTAATCACTTAAGAGAAATATCTTAACAGGTAATTTGAAGGAAAAGAAGAGGAGGTGATATTTGATCTGCATGACATCCACTTCATGCTCAACTTAAATTATTTTTCTCAGACAGGAAAGGTACAAAATTGTGAGGTCTCATGGAATGTCAAAATTATTTTAGATATAATTTGACATTTGAATCGTAATTTGAATCAAATAATCGCATTTGAATTTCAAAATTCCAAACAATCTTCAAAGAACTTTGTTAAAATATGTTTTATTTTTATATTAATTTTAAATGTGATGTGGCAAAGATTCAACCCACTTGAATAGATGGTATACTGGTGCATGATGATGCTAAGAGAGATGCAGCCTAACTTCCAGCTCAATGGGGAGAAAGAGCTTCTGCCTTCTAAAATAATATTTATCACAGAAATTGTAGCAATATGACTTGGAGAAAAGAGCTCAGATTTGCCTTCTGGTTAAAAGGCTGAAACTGGATTTGGCCATTAGGGGGTAATGTAATGATTGCACAGAAGCACCTCTGAAAAGCACTGAAGATCTCGAATGGTGTGTGAAGACAGTTACTTTTGACTGATTTCTCCAATTTTAAAAAATGTTTCTTTTCAGAAACTTTTCAGAAACTGATGAATTGTGTTTTCTTTTGACTAAGTTATCATCCCAGACTTTTTTCATTTGTTTCTATAGATACCATCAAGAGTCTTTTCTGATTTGTGATAGCCTGCTGTTTCCCAACTAATGTTACCTAAACCCACTTAAAGGATTTCTTTCTCCAGGCCTCTCAGTCTATGTGTGCTTAAGGGCGACAGGCTGGAAACCTTGGCTATAATAAAACAACCCCTTCCTAAGACACAAAGCTCTTGATAATTTTTTCTTGAACTATCTATTTCTAGTAAAAGGTTTATTTTACATTCATTAAAGAGAATTTTAAAAAATCTATTCCAGAAGAACTGTATCAACCTCATGTCCTGCCCCACTTGTCCTTTTTCAAAGCAAAGTCTAAGGTGAATCTTCCTTCTGATTTAACCTGAAAGTATTGTTATTAACAGCATTTTCATACAGATTAAGTTTTCAATTTGCTGTGTAAAATGTCTTTTCTGAGATTTTATGTATGCTTTAGAGGGTTAATTATGCATTTCTTAATAGGAAGTGATAAAATGTTTTCTACAGACACTACAGACACGTCCTTTTGCAGCTGCAACTATAACGGCTCCATAGGTTATTGCTGCCTTCAACTCATCCCTGCCAAAGACAACTGCTCCCTCAAATTTCCCTGGGGAGCTGCTCCCTGGCTTTTTCCATCCCAAATAATCCAGATGAGGATCTCTCTAAACTAACTGTGAAAGGACCTTGAGTTGTTCAAAGAGTAGAGGTGAGCCTACTTGCACCTTTTCTTTACAGTGGACACACCATAATCACCCAGAGGTCTATAAATTTCTACAGGCTACATATGAATTTAGTTAAATTAGGACAATCGGAATTTAAAATATGAGAACTCAGTTTCTTCTGAGTGAGAACATAATAATATAATGGACCTTTTAAGCAAATCTGTTTTATCCTCACAATTTTTTGTTTCAGTCCAGCAATAGTTTGTGGCATTTTGGGTTGCAGCAGGCTCCACACAGGCTGAATATTCCTGAGAAATTTGAGCTACTGGCTGCCCCAAAGGCTAGGCTTCCTTCCCTGTTCTAACTGCAGTTGTCTGCTCCTTCTTTTGCATGCACTCTTGTGTTTGTCCAACTCCCTCAGCTTTTTGAAGCAGCATGAAACACTTTTGGTGGCAGCAAGCTGTCAGATTGTCCCAGCTGTCTTGCACAACCTAAACCCCGGTGCCTCTGGGTCTCTAAGAAAGAATTTTTCTGTTGCTTCAGAGGCTTGGCTCTGTCATTTCTGCTTTTTCAAGCACCTCCTAATATCTGCTGTGGCCGTAGGCTTCCTGACTGCTAGGTCATGCACCCACGCTCCAAACGGCTTTCCCAGCTCAGGGCTCTCCTTCACCCAGAGAAGAGGAGGCACTGCAAGGCAATAGGACAGCCCTCTGGCCAGTCACTGAAAGGGAACATGGTAGACACAACGCTATGAAAGCACCAACAGACAGCATCCCTCTCCCTCACACCTGGAGAGGGGCAGCAGTGCTGACTGGTTGTAGGTATGCTAGACATTACAGGCTTTTAGGTTGGGGGAAGTAACTGGGCACATTTCTGTAAAGGGAACTGTAGACCTAAAATCCAGTGGCAATCATTTTATTTTAGGTTTATTGCCCTCACTCTTTTTTTTTTTTTTTTCTTTTTTTCTTTTTCTTTTCTTTTCTTTCCAGGTGAGATCCAGAACATCAAAGATGCAGCCATTTTCTACTTCTGCTTTTACTCATACTCCTGGAATAAGTACTTCACAGTTTTATGAATAGGAAAGGTACTTTTCATTGTTTAAAAGGATATTCTGATTAATAGTGTATACAGGTAAAAATAATTGTAGCTAAAGTGACCCTAGGTTTTTGGCAATGAACATGACATTAGAATTTGGCCTTGTGTTTGGCAGCTACTCTGTTTTCTGACACTGTATTATTTATGTTTTCCACTTTAAAAGTAGTTACGCAAACACTTCAGCCCTAAATTCTCCTAAGTTTTGAAATAATTCTCATGTGTTATTTTTAAGGTTCCAAAGAGACATATGTGATGTGGTCCCACAAGGAACCTCTTTTAGCAAATGACTGAACCAGTGTTTAATGACAGGAGCTGTTTTTGTGTGAGTCTTGGTGTATTTGGCTTCTTCTCTCCAGCTAATGCAGTATGGGTTGGCTGCTGCATCTGGAACTTCAAGAAATGGGTTGTGACAATGTTTTTTTTATCAGAGAACTGCTCTGCCTGGACTCCAAGGGAAA